CATTATTATTATTATTATGATTATTACTGATGATGTTTCGATGGCTGTTCTTGCTTTGCAGAATGGTACAGTATGTGAAAATGGCATTTCAAGACCGATGACTCCGTTAGAGATGGATGAAGCTTTGCTCTTCGAAGAACAATTGGATGCTTTCAATTCAGTTCTGAATAGCTGGGTAATGTGAAATATAGCCGATTCAAAATGTTCATTCTGAATAAATAAGTGTGTTGAGATGTGTCGAATTTGAAATATGCCCTTTGATTACGTGACTGCTTCAGTTGAGTCGTTAGCATAGCAAAGAATAACGTAGAGCGAGACTTTTGTCCACTTCTTTCGTACTTAATTGTCTTCTTTCAGTGGTACAAACTGGCTTCTTTCGTCAACGCAGCTTTCTTCGGTGTATGGCCAAGCATACCAACTCTTCCCCCACAACCTGAAGTGCCATGCTTCTGTCCGGATGTATGCGGGAATATGACAAATTCGACTGAATACGGAAATCGCACCGTTCAATTCTACTGAAAATCGTTCGAAATAGCAACGCTACGCGAATTAATCATATATTCTTAAATGCGAATTAACTGCTGCTTTCATCCAACAACTATTGCACATTAAATCGACTAAACAACGTATTGATGCTCTAAACAACTATTAATATATGGATTTAATTCAAGAATATATTGCTCACAAATATATTCTTGAATTAAATCCTAATATTAAATATTTTTCAATAACTTCACTGCTCTTTATGAAAGCGATTTCCAAACTTTTGTTATACGCACTGCATTCTTTTGGTTGCTTGGCTATAGACTATCATTGTCATTTTCAACCATCACCATTCACTATCGACTCAAAATTTCTTCAAACTCTAGTTTATCAGCTTCTTCAATTTTTGCTTCCTCCTAGGCTACCATGAAATTCCCTCTAGATCAGTGGTTCTCAACCTTCCCCCCCCCCGGATCCCCTAAAAAATTTTCAGGTGTCCTCGCAATCCCCACCACAGTACTTAAAATATCCTCGCACTCCTCACAACATCCACTTTATATCCCTCATCCACTACAGTGAGTGTCTGTAGTGTAGATAAGTGTAGACCATCCAGTACCTTCTAGCCTTTTCAAAAATACATACGTTAAAGTCCATGCTCGCCTACTTTACACATTATTCTCCACTTACATTGTACTCCTTTATTGCCTACTTTAATGTATAACGAATAAAATCTTATCTTGCACCCCCTCGAATAGCATCTCTCAACCCTTTAGGGCACCACAAAATCACTTGTCATGGTTAGGTTTTTTTGAACCGGTATCGATGGCGTTTATATGGATACATGATATACAGTCCTGTTTCACCCACATTATTAAAGAACATTGGAAAAGCGAAACATTTTACCTTTAAGGGGTCTTATCAGGTTGTGGTTTTGATTCGACTTGATAATTCAGCTATCAGTATTTTCTAGACAATAAAGGCCTTTTATAGCATCATGAATATCAGTGAATCTAACTTCACGCATACAGTACTGATCGGTATGTTCTCAAGCTGAGTACCTCTATTCCAGTCGTCGCTTTTTTCCCTTCCAAACCGTCGGTTCCTTTTCAAATCTATAACAATTTTTGCCCGAAGATTTGATTTGCCCAGTGCTTTTGATATGATTATCAATAAAATAGTCTTATGTTTATGTGTCAAGGTGTTGATGTTCGAGTCATAATTGCAATGCGTTTATTCCGATTAAAGATTATTGGGATTGAAAAGAAATATACTGCAATCGAAAAATTGTTACGAAGCAGGCAAAAAGAGAACAAAAAAGATGTATCATTGAGAAAAATGCCCAATGTGTTGAGCGATTTTGAGTTTGTGAGTAATGTGAATGTTGATTGCAGAATGAGTTGAAGACGATATGAGCGATAATACAGGTTGACAGCAATGTGCATTTTCAACATAGACTGCCATTGCATCACAACAGTTGATGTTGGCTATAGGCTCGTCAATGAAGAAAACAAATGAGGCTGAGTGGTCTGGCGAATTTTCCAAAATAAGCTTAACATAATGAATTCCGTCACGAATTTCCTTTCTGACAATCCTACCAATAATAATCAAAATTAAAAACTTCTGGTTTCTGCAACACAATGAATCTTTCATTCAAGGCATGCGTTCTGTATCTTCCATTCATGTTCATCGCTGTGGCTCTTGCAGTCGAGCCCTTCTTAAAACGGATGATATCAATTAGTTTAAAGTATTTTAAGCGCATGAAAATAACGAAAATGAGCACCATCAGTATTGAGCCACTTCGGAAGCTGACTGGAATAGGCCCAAATTTGCTTCAGTAAGCAAGAGTGTCACGTAAAATTTTATTCATAAAACACGGTTTTTTTTCTTCATCCGTCATTAATCCAGCTATTTGATTTCAAATGAAAACACGTCGGCGATTGGCTCTGTTGCATATTCGAAATTCGTGCCCGATGCATTTCTGTATCCCGATCGTAGTAATGAATCAGGATTAATGACTATATGGACGAAATTGAAGTGAATGCGCTACGTGATAAATCCGATGGATCAGTTGACAAGGATTCGAATTGCCTCGGGATAACCAGAAGTAAGCTAAAGTCATCATGTGTGCACGGACTAGAATGCTTCCAATTTCAACGAAACAACATTCAACAGTTCACGGACAATAACACCGAATGATTCTTCTTCCGAAAACCATTTAACAGTAAGTCATGCAGCATCGAATGCATCGCTCTTATCAGATTATTAAATGAAACAAGATCGTTTCATTTATCCTTAATTCCACCTCGCTCAAAGTATCCAAAAATGGTAGCATTGTTCAAAGAACTGTAATTTCTTACATTCCAGTTATTTTGTCCTCTGCGTGAAACATATCTCGCTTTTTCCCATGAATTTCCATAGTTACCACCACTTCTAGGCGGTCTCAGCATGGCGCGCGTTCTTTCCGTTAAATCGAATGAAGCTGAAACAGCTGAAACGGAAGCTCAACTAAAGTATAAGTGATCATCAAATTGCTGCTGATTTCTTACGATTAGCATCCAGACATCATCAGTACCAGACCTCGAGTGAGCTGCAGTGCAAGCAACTGTTCTCAACGATAATATCGCAACTGAATCCAATTGAAATTCCTTCTGCATCATAGTTTGAGCTACCCAGAATCACTTTGCATAATGGTGTTTGGAAAGGGTTTATAAAAATCTTTCATTAGCAAAAATCGCGGAGTGGGCAATTATTGTGATAGAAGTTAACCTGTTTCCGAGATCAGCACGAAGATGGCACAAAGCAGAACGATTTTCATTGACATGTTGACGAATGAAGATTCGAATGTTTAATGACTCAGACGACACAATGGATAATGAACTGCCAATTGATGTTAATTTATAGCCGAAGTTTGTTTTGATCATATTTCGCGTTGTTTTTGATGAAAGGATTAATGATTTGGTTATCACCAATCTCTCAGACAAATATTTTGAAAATTTTAATATTGAATACGGAAACGTTTCGTTGATATCGCCGACGAAGACCCGTTATCGTTATCATTTCAGACGTTACGCTGATCATTCTTCAACTGAGCTCTCTGAATTGTTGAACATTCCGTCTGGAGGTAGATAATCCGGCTGGCAATTCAGTCATCTCTTATCAACGAGAAAACATGTTGATTCCAAAATGGAGAAATATTTTGTTGCTATCATTCTTGGCGGTTCCAGCTTAGCACCATTCTAGACATTTCGCATGAAAATCTATTTTTAACCTCACATAACTTATGACTGTTCCGTTAGGAATGTGTTAATTCGGTTGCGATTCGAGTGTTCCTCATCATTGAGTAAATAAAACGTATAAATAACGAATCATGAAATGTATCGTTACTGGTATTTTCGACAGTTTCAGCTCATAACTGTTTTGGAGTATCTATCAAAACATCATGTTGTTTGCACTGTCGCATTTTGGAATATCGCAACTGGCGCTAAATAATCG